TAACTATCAAAAAGGAATTCTTTTTTACTTCATTTTAAACAGATTACGCGAATTCGAAAAGAATTCAAGAAAGTGAATTCTTTTTGAAATCAAAAGGATCAGTGGTGCTATTTGGGTATGTATATGTGCTAGAACGATGTATAAAATGTGCAGTGCATTAAATACCTTTATTACTAATATAAATTGTAATTATTTTAATTTTTTTACTTTAAAAACATCTTTCCTGCAATTTTTTTAATTTTCAAAGAATATTGAAATTTTTAATAACAATATACTGAAATAAATAATAGTGTAATATAAAAAAGCATGCATGCGTATATATATATATATTTTTCAATATTTAAACACCCTGATGTATTTGTAAAAAATACAAATTATTTTATTTGTTGTTTATATACATTCTTATTTCAATCAGTTTCTACAGTATTTGTTTAGACAGAAAACTCATTGTCAGAAGTATAGAATATATAATGGAAAAAATAAATCTATTGTACAAAGCATCATTAGCTCATCGTTTGCGTACAAGTCTGTTGTTCTAGATCTCAGGTTCTCAGGATCTCAGGATCTCAGGTTCGAATCCGATGTTTTCAAAAATTATAAACCTGCGTATAAATTGTAATTAATAAAATGCAGAATAGCTCACAAATTACACTCTAAAAATAATTACATATAATAATATAATAAAATAAAAAAATTTTTTTCAATAATTTATTTTTCGACATTACAGCGCATATCCATATTCAAATATTACTGCCTAAATATATTTGTAGCAATAATATTTAGGCAGTAATATATTTCGGCAGTAGTGCGAAAAAATCATACAGAGCATCAATAATACTTCTGTGTAATTGTCAGTAATACGTCTATATGTGATTTTCAATAATATTTCCAGTAGTTTCGTGTGATATTTCTATGTAGTAGCCAGTAATACCTCAGCAGACGGTCTTTTCCATAAGGGATACCTCCCTAGTATTCTACTAGATATCTATAGATAAATAAATTATATACTATTAAAAAAATGAATTTTTCCAATGTTATCATCCTTATTCAAAAAATTATTAATAATTAGATGGATTATCGATCTTTTTAAAGACCGGCGAACTCGTACGATAATGTGGATATCGAAGAAGAGAAGAAGAAAACGCGTATAAATATTGATTGTACGAATTTTCATTTAATGACCGATCAATCGCAGCCTTAAAAGGGGAAAATGCGAATCTGACGAAGCAGAAGCGCGCAAAAGAAATAAAAATGTAATATAAAATACTTAATAAATATACTTCCTTTATTTATACTTCTGCAAATTATTAATATAGTTATTGGTTATTATTATTACTAGTTTATTTAATTTATTTAATTTATTGCATATTTTTATTAATTTTTTTTTTATTAGTTTTATAACAATAATTTTGTATTATTATTAATTTATTTATACTTTTATTATATATACATTGATCGATGTTGACATTTGAATATCGCGCATTTTGAACAGGATTTTGATTGGCTGGCTTCATCAATTTAATATGCGTGTTGGTTGATTTTATCTTCTTATATTATGACCGATTTGATCGTTTATTATATTTTTTAAAATATTAGAGTAAAATTTGAGAAAATCGTAAAATATTGTTTTTGGTATCCAATTTATTTTAATAATAAAATCGAAGATTAATATGTTACGTAGTTTCCTTTTTAATTTTTATTTTCAAAAAATTTTTATCGTGGAATCATAATCGTAATATTTCTTTTAATTATAAAATTTCATAGTAATTTTATATATATAATACATATATATAATATATATATAATATATAATTTTATACTAATTTTATATAATATACATATATATAAAATTTTATAAAATATTACTCAATTCAAATTTAATAATTTAATAATAAAAATTTTTGTCATATTTTAAAAACAATATTTTATAGATATAATAGTAATTGTAATTTGTTTATATAGTATTTTTTCTAAGAAAAATAAAGTTTCCACAAAACATTCTTACTTTCAAATTATCTATATTTGATTATAAAAATATTCTTCCATATTTTTGCAAAATATTTAAACAAAAATGACAAAAGATTGAAAAGTTATTAACTTTCAATATTTATCTTAATTCTTTACATAGTAATATATTCCTACACTATGTTTCTTTTAATTTAAATTGACTGTAAAATTTGTATCAATCTATATACAAACATATTCATTTATTAGAAAAGTATTGCATTAGCTTTTGGTACGGCGTAATTCCCAGCTTTTAACATCTTCAGAAACTTGGCAGCAACAATAAAGAAAAAAAAGCAGAACCAATAGATTTTTCCAAGATCCTATAGACAAAAATTAACATCTTAATCTTGACTTTTTTACTATAAGAATTTTTTCAAATTTGTAAAATTATTAAAATAAAAAAAATATATTTATATTTTAGTAATAAATATTAGTATGTAACATACAAGATAACGGACATATAATCCTCTTCCTATATACTAAATAAATAGATAATATACAAAAAGAAAACTAAGATATAATGAACTTGCCATATAATATGTTTTGTATAAAGATATTTCCAATATCTTGTCCTCCCAAAAAATAAAAATTTGATATAGCTGACATTGCTAAAAGAGGACTTGCTAATATGCAATTAAGTCTCTTAGTATTTTTTGAAGATAAATACGTGTTCTGTATTTTATGATATTGTTTACTTTTGCCAATTGACACTCCTATATCTTCAATTACTATTCCTATAAAATTGAGCAATGTCCAAATAAAAATATTTATTTGTATTCCATGCCATATAAAAACAAATGTGAAACATAAAAATGATGCAAATAATTTTCCAAAATACCCATTTGATTTTCGTATAGGAATATAGATATATCTGTAAACAAATATTGAAATATTATAAGAAAAAATAATGAATATCTCCAGTAATGCTACCACTAACTAATTTACAGTTGAATGTGATTGGTTTTATCTTAAGGTCCAACTAATCACATTAAATTGCTACTTAGTACTTACAATTAGTCAGTTTAGTGAGTAAATGCATTATTGGAGATAACAAGTCCATATTATAATAAAATATATGTAATCTTATTAATTATTGTAATAGAATAAAATATACAAATAGTAAATTTAATTAAATAAATTAAACTTACCTTATCAGAAATTTGTATAATCCTCTATCGAAATATTTCCACATGTCAGAATATAAATGAATTCTAGCTATGCATTTAGGTTGTGATGGAGCTTTTATATTATCTAAGTAACATAAATTACTGCATGTTCCATAGATTGCTACATATTTATTTAAAAAAAATTGTCCCATGCAATATCCTAAACCAAATAGTGCCCAAGAATTCAAATTTTGTATAACCTATACAAAATATAAATATATTCTTATATGCAAATATGATATGCATATCTTGTATATGAAAAAAGAATTACCTGTAAATGATATTGTACAGCATTTATATAAATAAAATGTAGCAACAAGTCAGTAAAATATAACCAGAACATGTATCTAATTAAATTTAACATAAATGTTAAAAGCTTTTGGCAATTCCAATATTGATGTGGTTGATTAATCTGAAAAATATCCAAACAGAATATAGAATTTTGTGACTTTATAACTATAATAATTACTATAATAACAATAACAATAATAATAATAATAATAATACCTACAGATTCTACAAATTCATGATACAAAATAAGCGGACCTAAAAATAATGTAGGCAGGTATAAGCAATATGCTAATTTCTGAATAAAATTATTTGAACTGGAAAATTGGTCATCAATGCTATCAATAGTGTGACTGATACTTCTTAAATGTATCCAACACATTATAAGTGTTAAAATATAATGCTTTTCATCGGTGATTTCCAGCCAACTTTGAAAAGTGCCATTTGGTATTTTTAATATATGTATTATAAATAGGTACAAAATATGTATAATCCATGCTGCATTCTTACTGCATATACATGTCATTATATGTAAAAAACTAGGTTGCAATATTGCACAAAACATTGCCAATGTACCCAAATAATAATAGAGAAAAATTATAGACGATAAAATGTACCAATAGCACAATATCTGAAAAATATCTGTGTTATTTTCTTTTTCTTTTGATATTATTTATAACTTTTCTTACAATATATTTTTTGCATATAATCATACCATACTATTACTATTGACTTTAATAATCTGACTGATAAAATGATGTATAAAAACATAAGGTATCAGTTTATTCACTAATGTAAGCCATACAAGCCACTCTTGATCAGAGGTGTCTCGTTTCTTTCTAACCCAAAACCATCCTGAATCAAAATCACCATATGCATCATAATAGTCATTGAAATCTGAAAATACAAATCAAATATGATTGAACCATTAACATTATAACAGTTTACCTGTTAATTCTTTCTCTTTCTCTATATTCTTACAATTATTTGCCAAATAAAATTGATATACAGAATAAAAGATGGCACACGACCAAACAAAGAAATAAAAATAACTTTCATAGTAATTTATGATTACTAAATTATTATTTTTCATTGTTAAGTTAAACTTGCCGCTTTAACAATTTTATTACAGTCACAGAAAGAAAATAATTGCAAGAGTTCGGTAGCCATATACAATGTTGCCAACTTATATTGAGTTTTGTAAACTTTGTAAATCTAGAGTCCTAGATAATCAGAGAAGCGCTAAAAGTCCTAGATGAGAAGCGCGACTGGGGTGCGTTCTCACTGAGCGCGTCACGCGTCGCGTTATCTGAATTGACCAATCAAAACATCCCATTTTATTGCGTAAAGCTAGAGTCCTAGAAAACAGAGATGCGACATTGAAGGGTATGGTCTGATTGGCTGTTTAAATCACATGACAAAGTACCAATCAAATGATCAAAGCGACCATTTTAATTCACTATTGCACCTAATGCATCAAGATACAGCTTTGTAAAGTACATATGTACATATAAATTATATAGAAAAAAATTAAGACAATACAAAGTGTTGAAATGTAATAAAAAGCTATTATTATGGTGTAAGTATTTTCTTTTTGCATCAACTGTCATCAGCTTATAAGGTTAGGAGTACTTTACTGAATTAAAATGGCGGTGGCTACCTAACCTAACTGACGCCGTGTCGCATCTCTGTATTCTAGGACTCTAAACGCATCCAATGTAGAACCAGTTTAACGTTGATTGGATCTCAATTGGATCGCAACGTTTGCGACCAGTGAGATATACACATACTGGAGTGAGCCTTCTCTAAGAAAACGCGTGGTGGGGATAGCCGCTGTGCGAGAGTGACAGCCATGCGGCCTGGGGATTGCTGCCTCACTTTAATA